GTGCCCCCCGACAACTACCTGTTTCGGCTGAATGACGTGTCCAGAGAGATGTACATTGTGTCTGGAGGCGTCATCGAGAAGACAATAGATGACGGGGAACGGGGGGAGGTCGTCGACGGCGTCCTCAAAGCAGGCAAGTGCGTCGCCGAAGCAAATGTTCCCACATTTGGGGCCCATGCTCAAGATGGCCGAGCTCGAGCAGCACAGCGCCAGGCTCGCGGCGAAGCGCAGTTGCAGCTAAGTCGATGAGTGTGCGGTATAGTACGCAACGTGCACGGTTCCGTAAAGAATGTGGCCTGAATATAGAGCGCCATGGCAACGCCAATGTGGAAATGGCCCTTGCAATCCATCTATCATGTGTTAATTCAGTGGAGCACAAAACACCCGCCGAGCATTCTCCTCGGTGCTTTGCATAAAAACAGCGAAAGCTGACATATATCCAGCATTCAGTCATGTAAGTCCCAATCGATTGTCATTTCTGCTGATGTGATGAATAACTGCGCTGGAAAATTGATTGCGCTTGTCGAATAGAATGCATGGGGACCGCCAGAAGTCTACCGCTCACCTTCTGGTGCTACCTTCAACAGCTCCAACCGCACGCATGAAGAACGGGTCCTTCAAATACGCTAGGAAAAAAAGGGTCAAATAACACGTGTTCAAAAGTGTACAAATTTTACGAGTTCATGCTATTTTTGTGTTCTTAGCGTGCAGAGCTTTGATGAAATGTGTTTTATGTGTGTTCGAAAAAGCGTTATTTGGCCCTGTTTTTAGTGGTTATTAGTAGTTATTTGGCCCTTTTTTGCTAGTGAATCCATTGTCTGCTTTGCACTGCAGCTGTGCAGAATACATCTGCATTCGCGAGCTGCAGGGCGCACGGCTGGATTGCGAATCTAACTGCGTGGTGCCTTTTATTCGACAGGGGAGGTCGTTGGAGAGCTGGCTTTCTTCTTCGGAATGCGCCAGAGCATGAACGCAAGGACGCCCCACAGCATGCCGACAACTCTTCTTGCTTTGCAGCAAGCGGACTTTAATCAGCTGGCCAAGCTGTACCCGGAAGACGAGGAGCACATTACGAAGAACATACTGCGCTCCTGGGAAACGAGGCGAACGGGGACGAGAGGTGACTCAGGTGCAGACATCAAATATTGAGTGCGAATTGCGTTAATTCAAGCAGTGCTGCCTGCATCAACGGAAGGCCAAATCAACCAATGATGCGACCAATATTGGTGGGGACGTTAAAGGACTACTTAACTAAACACTGAAGAACTCTAAGCTACTTCAATCTCCAGATGTTACATCTCCGCAACCTCTCCCATCTCCAGTCAGTTCTGCGCAAACTCGTATCTAGGCTCCTAGGAGCTTGTGCGCGAGTTTGCAGTACGTTAGCAGTGCACCGCTGTGAACTCCGGGCACCAAAGCTTCGAATCAGGGCACATGCATCCAAATTTGTACCGCCACTGTCGTATAGGCGGAAGCGAATGCAACATCGATAAGTGGGAGCAGAGGCAATTTTTGTCGGCATCGCGTCTATGGTGATGCCCAAAGCTGTTACGTAAGAAACTACCTGAGCTACAGGATTGTTTCCAACAAGACATATTTTGATTTAATGCTGCAATCGTGGATAAACGCCGTTGTTGCAAAAAATTTTGCGATGTCATTGGACTGCGTAATGAACTGCTGCGACCCTCTGTACAAGCTGGCAGAGACACTGCGCAAGTGCGAGCGGCTATTTTCTGGGTTTTGTACTTAACTTTTGCGATCAAGAGACTTCGCAGCGAAGGTTGGGAGCTGAGGTTTTCCCCCGTACTTGCGCGCGAAGACAGCAGCATCCTTGAAGTGAACAAGGTGCTTGAGAAGGCCCGTGAGAAGAAGAGGAAGGAGCGGTGCAAGAGGCTCATCGAGGGGGCCGCCAGAGGAGACATCGAGGACGTGTGCCACATATTGGCGACGAATGACGTGGATGTGGATGTGGACGACGGGGACTACGATCAGAGGACCGCCCTGCACCTTGCGGCGAGCAACGGCCACATAGACATGGTGAGGCATCTCGTCCTGGTGCAAGGGGCGCACGTCAACATTCTGGACCGCTACGACGGAACGCCAATAATGGACGCGGTGCGGCAGAAGCACCACAAAGTTGTGGCTTTCCTTCGCAGACACGGGGCCACCTTGGAGCTGGACAAGGCGGCAAGTGAGAGGCTCGGAAGAGATTGGTTTGGTGCATCAGCTGTTACTGTCGGGGACTTAACCGTCTATTTTGAGCAAAATTGCTGAAAAGAAACACGTCATGCCCATGCGCGGTCGAAATTGCTCCTTGCATAAATTTGGTTTCAAAGAAAATACAGCCGATGATCACGTAACATAATTCACCACAAGCACGAAGGCCATGGGACTCATTGTGCACGGGGCCTGACATATGCGTGAATGCGACCATGAGGTGATGCAACACAGGGATTACAGCCAATTACTTGCAGTGTGTCAATGGCGAGCCACATCGTTGGTTTGGAAAATTGGGCATGGTTGAATATTGCTGGTGCTCAACATACGAGCATCCGATATTTCTATGCTTCTCTGTGGGTGAGCTTATTAGACTTAGTAAGGCTTACCAGCAGATACGCAAAGGGAGCTGAAATGGCAATTTACAGGAAAGCGAGCGACTGATGTAGCAATTACTCCATGTAGCAGAAGCCTTCCGCCGGAAGAGAGCGGGCAGGTGTCGTCTGATATGTTCAATGCGCGAGCTGACTCCAAGCGGCAACATCACTTCCAATTACCCTCATGCTTCAAGGCAACCCAAGATTTTCAGCTGCTACCCTCGCCCAATTGCAGAATACTGCCTCATTGAAGACATTCCAATCGCATGGCCACGAGCCCTGACTTACATCATTCCACGCCATATACAGAAATGATATCAGTTTGACGCAAACCATACACTCGCAGTGGCGACTGAGCTGAGTGGGCAAAAATCGCCTAAAACTAGCCCCGTTGCGACTCCATGTATCATAGCCGGTCCACCGCCATCCGCGGGGTTTCATGTTCGAATGCCCCCGCGCAGGCGCTCTATTCTGCGCAGCTTCCGGAGGGGATGAGGCTTACGTCAGACTCCTGGTTGACAACGGAATGAACCCCAACATAACGGACTACAACGACAGGACGGCCCTGCACCTCGCGGCGGCCAAGGGCCACCTTGGGATAGTGAAGTATCTGTGCCACCACCCCCTCACTCAAAACTCGATGGTGGATCGTTTGGGCGCGACGCCGCTGAATGATGCCATCAGACACTCCCACCTTGACGTGCAGGAATTTCTGAGAAGTAAAGGGGCCACCCTCGAAGATGCCTGCATTGGATACAAGCTTTGTGAAGCGGCCGCAATCAACGACTTGAAAACCATAAAGGTGAGTTGAGTCAAGGGCCTGTGGCTTGGGGACTGCTCATCAGATTCTGTCAAAAGGATCGCATCCATACCGCATGTAGTATATTACGTTTCAAAGGGCATCATGTTCGGCTTGAGTAGATTTATCAATAGACAGAGGGCATAAAGCCACACTCGAGAATTGGTATACATATTTTGAGCAGCAATCGTGGGAGGCTTCACATCCGTGCATTAATTTTCTTCAGACTCCACTGACGACATATGAAACAAAACTACAGACAGATAACAAAAAAGAAATTATCACTGCAAACCGCCGTCACTGTATTGTAATTGCATGAAGCACATGCCCCTAAAGGAACTACCCCGAACGGGAATGCCAGCAAGGGAAATGGCGAGTACGAAGCACCTAGACTCCCTCCCATGTATAGAAATCGGAAAGAATATGGGCTAGAAATGGAAGTGCAAAGCCATACCAGATGGGCGCCTGGAACCCGTGATGGCGCGAGCATCGTGATGCGGGAATTATCAAGTATGCAAGCGGATAACTATTGCCTTTGTGCAGATGGAGCACAGGAGTTTCCCATCTGCACTTGTTTCTAAAAATGAATCACACGGGAAATCTATATGTATTGACATTAAACTTGGTACATTTGGGGATCCTGAGGTGGCATTTGAGATCCCATATATTGCAGTTCCCACACCGAGCTGCTGAGACTGCATTGAGCAATTCTAATGGTAGCACTGCCAATGCAGGTCCTGCACAAGAACGGCGTGGATCTCAATTCGACCGACTACAACCAGCGAACCGCCCTTCACTTAGCCGCGTCCGAGGGAAGCTCGGAGGTGGCCCTGTACTTTCTCAGAATGCCAGGAATAGAAGTAAATCCTGTCGACAATCACGGATGCACACCTCTTGATGATGCGATAAGAAACGGGGACTTGGTGCTGAAAGCGATGTTGGAAAGGGAAGGAGCAAAGCGCTCGTCTGAGATCCCCCAAGCGGCATTTGAAGCTAGCAAGAACCGTCACCAAGAGGAGAAAAAGAAGAGGTTCAACTCCAAACTAAAAAGGATAGTAACGGTGAGCCCACGCCAGGGATTCAGTGCTTGCGGAAATGACGTCACGCAGACACATGACCTCTCGTGCACAGATTTTGGTCTGTAGAAGAGTTGAAAACGTTTCATTCGTACAGCTCAGTACCTGCATGCTCCAGATGCAAATGGAATACCTGGAATGTGGTCGTCGAATGGTCATCTGCATGAAGGCCAGAAACATTGGGACCATTTGCGGTGCATCTTGTAAATATTCAAAGCATCTTTGGTTTAGCACACGCAACACCCTTTTAGGAACACTGGCACCAGCAAACCCGGTAAAGTACTTGAACCTAATACCGCTTTCCTGAAAAAGGGATACGCCTGGCATGAATTGAAGCAGAAATTGGCTGCGTTGTGTTTAGGACCACCAAGCGTATTTTCTAACTCCATTTGAAATGCGCTAATTGCCGATAGGGTGCGGGAAGCTGCACGGCACGCCAACGGCACTGCGGTCTGCTCCCTACATCCGGACAGGGGGATGACATCTAAGTTTCCTAGTACTGAGGCAATTTCGTTTCGCGTCCCGATTCAGGTGTCCCCTGAAGGGCAAATGTGCGACCAGATGTCCAAGCTGCATGAATCTATGAACACGTGCACCAAGGAGCTGACGTACAGTTTGCTGTCTTTCCAATGGATGCTTCGCGACATGATAAATTCCGGGATACAGGGGACCCGCGCGGCCGTCGCGAGACGGGAAATGGAATCGATCCTGGTGAAAGCCAGCAGGCAGTTGGTGTACTCGATCAACACAACGCTGAACATCATTGTCAGGAGGTCGACCATGGACGTTCTAAAGTCCATGGCGGTGTTGAAACTGTGCAAGGATTTGCCGCACGGCTTGAAGCAGATCCAGAATTCGTTGCAGGTGCGAAACTGCCTCCTACTTGAAGTAAACGGAACGGAGCAGTTAGAGCTGTCATTGCGTAGTGGTTGTGATCTGCTAAATCATGGACCCTACTAAGGGATACTGAATCCAGCCGGCGTCAATTGCCGCGCTCGATGAACCTAGATGCCCCGAACGCCAAGGTGTGTCTCTTGGCAGCACTTTTCCGTCGCATTTGGGTTGGGTTTCTGTCCTGCTGATGAATCAACCTTGGGCGTGTGTTGGCACAGAAGAGCCCAAACCATTTTGCCAAAAAGGCTCCACAATGTGAACTAATAATTCCAGCATGCAGGACCTCCCGGAATCCATCAACGGGGTCCTCGAAAAGGGGCACGAACAAGAGTACTTCTTCGAGGAATGGGAGATGCTGAGGTACAAGGCGACCAATGTGCCCTGGCGATCCCAGCGGTGACGCAGAGGGGCACCTGTCGGCAAGCAGCTTCGTTCGAAGGCCAAGGGAATCAAAACCCAGTGCCAGGAGGCGTAGGGACTGGGACTTGAAGCACTGAGTCCAGTCTTACGGGATTTTTCAGCGACCACGGGTGGTGTTGGGCTTGGGTTCGCCGCGGGTGGCGCAGTAGTCGCACGTACTTAGGTCGGTGCTCGGCAGGGGGTCGGCTCGAGCGGGCCTGGCGTATGGCGATGGCCATCTGTATTGGGTTAGGATTGTGCGTGGGCCGCGGCTTCTCCGAATTTTGATACCTCCAAAACCGCGCACAAAAGCGTGTGGAGGACCCCAGCTACAAGCTTAACGGGCGGTCACGGCACAAGCATGGGAAAGTCATATCATGCCTTCCATACCTGCCATGCGGACAAACGCCCCGTTCACAATCAGGGTATGAAACCATCGGGAACGGACGGGGAACAAGGTGACATAGAACAGCGGGCTGGCCGCAGTGACTTGAGGGTAGGGTAGTTGCTGTACGTGTATCTCGAGATTTCCGAACAGGCAGAGTGCGAGCAGATCGCGAGGGGATATGCACGAGATGCCTTACTCACGCCATCGCCATTTCTGGTGATTGAGCTACCGGCCTAGCACCGTAGCACTCCTTGGGGTGGCGTATCAGACCAGCGATTTGTCCGTTCCGGAGTCAAGCCGACAGGTCGCCAAATTCATTGCGCTGACATGCAAATTTGAACTGCCAGCGCTCCAAGTCGGCAACCGTTTCTTTGTGGGAATGCTGTCATGCATAACCGCCAATTTGCGAGAATTACATGCGCGAGATCAAACTCGTCCAAGGAGCCACCGCGACGTGCGACACGGAAGACCGAAGAAAATTCACCTTTCCCAACAGCGTCCAGTCAGCGTCAGACGCGACCAATTCAGAATAGTGCTATGTAGTCCAAAAAAGGCGGTCATCTCCCATCAAATGAATGAAATGCTCTCCCCTGCATCGGCTAACTCAGCAACTATATTCTTGCTTTAAATTGGCGGCCGCACAGACTCCAAGCTGGCCAAGGCCCCCCACGTGCACAGAAGCAATGACGATTCCCGTTGTCAGCGGCCTGTTCGAAGTCATGGGCCAACCAACAGCACGAAAACTACAAAAAGCGATATTGTAACCTCATTATTGTGCTGGGGCATCTTTCTGGGATGCAAACGTGCTACCACCACAGTGTTGCCTCTGTCCACGAATCCATTCTGAGACAGTGACTTAGCACCGCCGCGACACCAGACTAAGCTGTTTTCTGCAGTGCCAACCCGAGCCTGGGAGCCTGCAAAACCCACACACAGCAACCCATTCGTCCACGGGGGGCTGCGCAACTTCACAGTGCTGGTTTAGCAGGACTCCTCCCTGGACAGCTGTTCAGATTGCATTCTGTCAAGTCTCTCCTCACTACCTCTCACCTCCTGATGGCAATCCTGGAGCAGTTTCTCACACACTGCCATGGAGGCCTTCGGTGTGTTGTCAAGGAAGCAGGACGAGCACCTCAGGGAGCTGAAAACCTTTCCACATGTGCACTTGCCAAAATTGTTCAAGCACTGTCCCAGAACAGATGCTATGCAGTACATGCTCCTGAGGCTGATCCTGTGTGCCTGGAGCCTGGCGAATGCACTGTTAATGGACTGTGCGTCCGCATACACCAGTGCCTGTGCTATCACGGCTTGGCATTTGACCGTAAGGTCTTCCAGTTTCCACCGCTCCGCCAAGCCCAACCATCTGAGAGTGAAACAAAGATGCACAGTGTCACAGACATTCAAGGTGCAACATGCCGCCACAGATCTCTGCAGGTGCGCAAAAAAGGCCAGATGCCCATGAAAAAGGTGCAAAAACACAAAAAGGATAACACGAGAATAAACTTCCCTTGCAGAACATTAGCAGGACCATTTCATACGTTCTCTGTTGCAGGTAATTCCCTCAACACAGTTGTTGGTTGCCAATGGCCTGCACTCTTATGGAACACCACATGACGTCAGACATCACACAGCATACCTGACAGCATCGCGTTCTTCATCAGGATATTGGCGGGCAACTGGACTTTGAGGCTGGTTCAAGGCACGGGAGCGAGGCATGCTTTCTGAAAACCCGGCAAAATGCAGCTGGTTTGCATCGCTGCACAGTGTGTGTTCGCACAGTCGAATGATCGCTGGCATGTCATACTTGTCTGCCAAGAACACCAGGCCCTTCGCATCCTCAAACTGCCAAAAACACCCACCCACAAACTGTGTTCACTGAGAATCTACAGCTTAGGCCCATGCAGACTGGGTTTGTGCTTGGAAACAACAGGCTGTGCATCTCACATCTGCACAACAGAGGTTCTTGCATGGAGTTGAATGTATTTGAAACTGGACCATGCTGGGATCACGTCTAGAACACAACATGGAGTGTGTAAAAATGTCAACTTCCAAACTCCCCAACATCTTGCCAGAGCTAATCACATTGCCCATCCAGCTATTTGCAGATGCAAATAGATGGAGCAGGAGGTTGCAAGCACTACTGTCACCTAAAGGAGCACAGTGAAATGCAGTGCCAACTGGCCATCAATCCAGGAATGTGCTTTTCTGTGCCCTGTGTGACACATGTGGTGCGTCTGTGGTCCACTGTAAATTCCTATCAAGTTGCAATAACCAAACTACGGGGCAGTTTTCCATGCAAACATAGTCCAGGAGGACCAGGCGCTCCTGAACGTGCACTTGCCAGTGCCTGTTCTTGCTTGGCAACCATAAACATTCAGCTGCACTTCTGGAACTGTGGGCATGCTTGGCAGCCAGCCACCATGTCTGCAATCCATCTGTGAAACATTTATTAGCTCTGCTGTACTCCTGCCCACGCAACATTGTCAACTCAATCTTGCGGCACTGGGATGCTGCGCTCCCAAAATCACACATCCCAGGCAGTTGTACCAGCCACACTCTGCAGGCTTTCAGATGCACGAAGGAAACGATGCTGCAGACGTCATGAGCCGTGCTATG